GATAACGATCATTCCCCATGTACGAACTACAGGCCGATCTTGTTAATCAATGTTGATGTGAAATTGATCACCAAATTGATTGCCATCCGGCTGAAGCCACTTCTCACGTGGGTGATTCATCCTGACCAGGTGGGGGTTGTCCAGGGCCGCAAGATAACACCATTAAGATGGTCTGTTGATGCACTATCCTAAAACATCCAATACACCACTTTGCCTCTTGTCAGTGAATGCCGACAAGACTGGAGTTTTCTCAAACACACATTACTACTACTGGGAGTACGGCCTAACATGCTGAGCAACGTAATGGCTCTGTATTCTGGCCCATTGGCTAGGATCCACGTAATTGGCACACTGTCTCCTAGCTTTCAGATCGCTAATGGCACCCACCAGGGTTGTCCACTATCCCCTCTCCTCTACATACTCACCATGAAGCACCTGGCAGTCGTTCTCCGACAGAATTCTGCCTTCCAAGGCTTACTTGTGGGCCCCCACAGATCCAAGCTTGCGTTGTTCACTGATGATATACTGCTCTGTTACTCACCCTATCGCCATACCCACTATCTTACAAGCATTTGCGCGTTCTGGTTCTCTGAGTAACTTTCGGGTTAACCTCTCCAAGTCAGAGATACTCAATGTATGCTTAGGGGAGGTGGCCTTGCATCAACTGGCTAGCAACTACTCCTTCCGTGTTTGCCCCACCTCCTTGAAATACAACTCCCTATGGATCTGGCAAATTTACATACCGTAAATTTTTACCCTCTGCTTGAGAGTGTAACTCGAGATCTCGCCTCCTACGACTGCAAAAATAATCTCCTGGCAGGGTCAGATTAATGTGCTTAAAATGGACATAGTTCCTAGGTTTCTTTACCTATTCCAGACATTACCCATTGTCCTTCCCTCTCTCTATCTGAAAGAGGTCCAGCGGGCCTTCACAAAATTTGTGTGGGGTTCCTCCTGTCCCCGGCTCAGCTATAAATTGTTGGCCCCACCGAAATGCAGAGGGGGAGCGAGAGCACCGGACATTTTTTCTACCACGCCTCGGCGGTGCTGGTGCACATAGTGGACTGGTTCCATCGAGCCAATGATAAACAATGGGTCCGCATGGAGGAGACTATTGCGGCTAGTGACCTGCTGGCGTTGCCCTGGATACCTCCTGGTTCCAGACTGATGCCCTCCTCTCGCACTTTTTTTTGACTACTCACACATTGAAAAAGTGAAATCGTTAGGTATTTATTTATTTTTTATTTATATCAAGGCATTTATTTATTTTTTAATTCTTTATTTATAATCTCGAGAAAGCAAGAAACACAACAGAGATATAAATGAAAGGAACAGTATACAAAATCAGGATGGTACATCTGACACCAGTTATTTGAAAGCCTGACCGGTACAGTAGCTAATTATCACCATACAATCTGTCTCTTCCTCAACAGGTTGTTGTCTCGCCACTTGAGATCTAATTTTTTTTCCTTCCACATAGCAGACACAAAACAGTAGCCAAAAAGGACAGTAAAAACATACAGAGAATGCAGGTCCCTAGAAAGCAGAGCGGAAAGAGGAAAAAGGTACAGGAACGCCTCGCCAAGGGGCCAGGTGGCCCAGCAAGAAACACGTCAGAAAAAGGAGAGGGCACAGAAAAGGAGTGCCGGTGGGGAAGAGCAGCCACCCTCCCGCACCTCCTCAAGCAGTAGATCCGAGAAGCCAAATTGTATTCCTGGGAGAGGGTGTATTCAAGAAAACCAAGTACGATTAAACTTGCGTAAAGATGAAGTGAGGTTTTCCATTCGCTCTATCTCCGCAATCCTTTGAGTACCACATTGATAAAGTCAGTGCAGCAGACAGTTTCCAAAGGGCCGGAATACACGACTTTGCTGCATTGAGCAAGTCGAGTGACAGGGAATTTTTATAACGCTTCCTAGAGAGATCAGAGACATGTAGGAGGCAGGCAGCTGGGTTGTCGTAAACATCAATACTGGTAAGCTGTTTAATAAGAACCCAACCTCTGACCAGAAGTGCAGAATCTTCTGGCATGACCAGAAGATATGCAATAGGTCTCCTCGTCACATCTCCGAGGTTTGTGGAAACATTTTATGTAGAAGTGTGGGCACTCTGTACCAGCGGGAGAGAATTTTGTAGTTATTTTCCTGTATTCTACTGGAGATGGAGGCGTAATGAGTGAAGTACATGGGGTCACTCATTTTATCAAGTGATAGGAAGAGTTTCAGGTCATGTTCCCACTTCCCAACAAAGGGAGGAATAAAGTCTAGCTTCGGTTGAATTAAGGTCTTCTACATCAGGGAGAGAGAATGTTGCACATTATCTTTCTTGAGACAAAAGCGATCAAACCATGTTAGAGGAAATGGGGACCATCCCTTAGGCACCCGTGATTTCCAAAAATGGAGTTGGTGCAGCCTCCAACCATCCAGCTGTAGGACTACTAGCGAGCATATAGTTGATTCTTCCTTCAAAGTACCATGTGATACAAAAACACCCAGCCTGAATTCGCCTTGTTTAATAAAAGCCGAGAAGCGGGTATCAATCTGTCCAGGCCCAAAGTCTGGATGACCCACCACTGGGATATCAAAGATGGACCTCGACCAGGGTCCGAAGCCCCAGCAAATCCCACAAAAATCTGTAACGATGGACCTATCAAGGAATGGCTCCGCAGTAATCTACCATGTGATGGCACCAAGTGGGACCCGAGGCGGCCTGCTCCAGAGCCATCCATTGTTTGGAATCACGGTTTCTGCACCATTCCAGGACTCTGGCTAGGTGTGTCGGTTTGTAGTAGAGGACAGGATCCGGGAACCCCATCCCACCCAGGGACTTGGGAACAACCAGTTATGTGTGTGCCAGTCGAGATGTAGTACGAGCCCAGACAAACCTAAGAGATTCCCATCATAGTTCCCTGAGAAAGGAAGATGTTATGAAGATGGGCATTGTCTGAAACAGATATAGCATCCTGGGAAGGACGTTCATCTTGAGCATTCCTGCCAAACCTCATAAACAAGCATACACATCCAGTGTAACATGCATACACGCAATGAGTTGAACTTGATGGGCCTGTGTCTTTATTCAACCTCAAATACTATGTAAACCATGAGTGGGTAAAGATCAAAGGCGACAATGGACACCCGGTCTTGTCCCATTTGTCAAATGGAAGAACAGGGACCAAGCTTCATTTACTCGAATCGCTGCCGTCGGGGACGAATAGATGGTGTCTAGCCAGGCGCACATATTTGTGCCAAAGCCCAGGTGAGGGAACATAGACTTCAGGAAGCTCCAGTCCACTTGATCAAATGCCTTTTCCGCATCAGACGAGAGCAGAGCCAAGTGGATACCCCTTGAATGTGCTAGGTGGAGTACATTGAGAACCTGTGTGGTATTGTCTTTTGCTTCTGTGTGGCATAAAACCCACTTGATCCAAATGTATGACCGTCTGTAAAAGAGGCAGTACCCTAAGCGCCAAAATCTTGGAGAACATCTGTAAAGGACATTTTCACCTTTGTAAGGGATTTTGAGTTTTTGGTGGTAATGGGGAGGTGCAGGGGGATGTACATGTGTATGCATTCTTGCTCTCTTCCAGAGAGGGCTCATGAGAACTGGAAATCATTCCTTACTATTCCTCAGGTAGCGTGAATGCAGGTTGAGGACAAAGAAGGTCAGTTTGCAGTCTCTATGGCCAGATGTAACAAGGAGAGTAGCCATTATGCGCATAAAAAAAAAAATTGACCATGACAGTGTTGAACTCCTTTCTGGATATGAAGTCAGAGGAGCCTGCCCTAGAGGGAGCAGAAGAGAACCCTGATGAAAGCAGTGAAGGGAAATTAGGAGCTTAGGATTGGACTAACAGTAATGGCGTCTCCGAAGGCGTCTCCATTATCAGTATATGTGACCTACACACCTATAACCTGCCATGTGCTTACCCCCTAAAAACCCATGCTCAGAGGTGAGAGGGTCTCCTGTGTCCAGACACTGCAGGCAGCAAGGTGATTCAGTCTTGAAAACTGCTGCGTAGCACTGATAATTGTCCCTTGTGTGTGCGCGCGCATAGTCCCAGCAGGAGTGTGTGTTCTGCTAGAGGCATGCATTAGAAGAGGAAATGGCACTGCATGTGCAGTACCATACCTAGGAAGGAGGCTGCATGTGCGCAGTCCCTGGCATAGGCCTCACGGGTGAAACAACCACTGGTACCATCTGAAAATCCTTATAGCTGAAGCACTGCTAAGAAGGTGCACCGGTACCACAAATTGAGCCTTGTAGGGTTCTGGTGCTACCACCTGGCTACTTGTGGGGGCTGGCTGAGGCTTACCCGAGGGGCTCTTGGTCCTTACCGTGGATGTGCACAGCGAACAGCATCCTCTTCACTCCTCTCCCAGCAGCAGCACCCCCCCCCCCCCCCCCGCCGAAATAAAAAAAAGTC